CGGGAAGGAAGCGTGGTGGGAGCGAGCACGTGGTCGCATGAACTCACCCCACGAGGGTCGAGAAGGTCCGTCGCGAAGAAAGAAGAAGGTTAGGTGGTTGAATAAGGGCGGGAGCGGCGAGGAGCTGCGCGCGCAGCCGCGGGCCACGCTGCCGCCGGTGGCTCGAGAGCCAGCCGCGTGGTCGGCCCGCTTCAGTAACTCCGATACCTTCGAGCGAGTGAGTCACGTCCGATTTCGAGCCCGACTATCTGCCGAGACGCGCCAAAATTCCTTGCCACCTCCGATCGTTTCGCGCGTATTTTCGTCCATTCAACGCCGTTGAACGTTCTCCAGCGGGGAGAATATATCGAAAGCGATACGAGAACACACGAGGTTCTGTTGTTCCCTCGCGTTCCAACGATAATCATTCAGTGAACATTGAACGTCGCTCGTTGTACATTGTTTATAAACACGCGATTATAGAGACGCGTGACCCTCGAACGACTCCGAAATTCTCGCGCGTATTCGGCGCCGAACCTTTGCAGCCAGCGAGTCTTCTAAATTTCCACCTTGATAACAGCGACCTGTGCGATTCGCGCGGAAACGCCGGATTTCCAGAAGGCCGGATCGTCGAATTATCGGTGATCGAGCAGAATTCCCGTGTGATGTTTGCTTGATTTTATCCATCGATCCGGTTTCATTGTTCGTTCTCTGTGAATAACACTCGCCACGATGTCGATTTATTACTACGTGATCCTCTGGACTGTCGTGGTTCCGGTGTTGTGCGAGCCGGTGAACGAACCGACGAAAACCAGACTGACGATCCTGAAGTGTTGCCGGTATAACGAGGAACTGGTGAAAGAATCCGACAACGAGGTGGACGCGAGTACTCGCTGCAAGGCGACCAAGAACGAGTGGAAGCCTATCATCTATTCGCCGTCCAAGGCAGACATGCTGGAGAAACCGCCAGCGGAATGGGACATCGTCGAAGGCAGGAAGCCCGTTTGCGAGCAGAATTCTGCATTGACCTACGTGCCGTACCGAATCACCAATCCGTTCGTGCTCATGGACGACGGCCGCGTGATCATCGACGTCCACGTGAACGAAAGATTCGAGCCGGACGCGTACTGCGCCGATTCGAACGCACTTCTCGTTTGCATGAAGAACAGAATGCAAGGGAACCACGAGGCTGTCACTATGAGACCACGCGTGAAGAAATGTTGCGGTGAAAACGCAACGTTCTACGAGGAGGAGTAAGTTTTTCTACAACTTTCTTCTTTCTTTTGTCGGATGTTGTATCGTTCGATTCGAGGAGTTTGCTCGACAACGCAGAGTATAAATAATAGGAGGAGAATAAAAACGGGGGATAGTTCGAATTCGTAATTTGTGTTTTGTTTACGAACGCTTGTTCAAAAGTTATCAATCCGTGACGTATCGACATAAACTTTGCAGCTTTAGTATTACCGCGTGTCATACGTTTCGTTGAAAGCCAATATGCACGATTACATTATTCAATATTTTAACTGAATGTCGTAGCTGGTCTTTGGCTTTGGCTTTGGTTTCGTCAAAATGGCCATGACCATTTTATCCTCCCGAACTTAATGGTATTTCAAAGTGACGACGGTAGTATGTTCGTACTGTGATTCATTAAAATTTGAAGAGTTAAAGAGACTAGGTTCGTCACTGATTTTTAGAATAGAACGTTCAGTTTCATTTTCAATAGGCCTGAGTGACGTCGGAAAGTTGCTTTGTTCCATTACTTTCAAAGTGGTTGAATGGTGCAAAGGAACTTGTTTCTTTTTTTTTTTTCAGTTACTGACTTTCATACTTTGACAGAACAGAACGTATCGAGTAAAGTAACTTTCCATCATGAATTCTTATCACATAATGAAATCTTTGAACAAATATTGCCTGAACACTCGTAAATAAATATTCTTAATAATTGTTCGTAGATATACTACTTAAACACTAAAAAAAAAAGAAAAAAAAAAATTCGTCAATGAAAGAGGTTTCTTTCATTCAGTAAGACAGTGTTGAAATTTAAGAAATTTAGAATGTTGCCTGAAATTTCTCATTTACCAAACATCATATAATCTCATTATTATCTTGTGTAATCTCTGTGAAACCTACTCGAAAGATAGACAAAGATTTAAATACTCGAGAAGCCCGTAGAAGTTGAAAGCTATTTAAAGGAACTCGTTATAGTAGTATAGTATAAACTCCGTTTATTGGAACAAAATTTTACTTAATGATCTATTAACTGAAATTCTGCCGATTGAATCCACTTATCTGAACTCTTGTTACGCGAAAAATTATAGCAAAGAAAATTGGTAAATGCAACTTCAGCTGCAGTAACGGAAACACGGAAGTCTACGTTCATTTGTAAGTTTTAAATACTCAAAGAAAAAGGTTTTAAATATTCTAGGCAGTAATTTATTTATTAATTAAAGTTGAAATGTTTAACGAAAACATATTTCTCATATTGTACTGTGAATGCATTAAAATGTATAAAATTTATTCTTATTATTATAATAATTATGATTAGAATAAGTTTCGTTTGCTTTACTTTCGCATAATTGCACATAAATTTTTTTAAGATGGTATTTATATTCTTATATTTTGAACGAGCAGTTTGTTGCCAATATTTTCAAACTGGTCTGCTCTTAATTAAGTAATTAAATAAGATCCACGAAATGTCGGGGACCCTCCTTTTTCTCATTCAAATATCTGAAATTTGACAAAGTTTAATTTGTATGCAGTCTTCCGTAAAAAAATATACAATGCATTTTCTTTCGTTTGCCATTATATATAAATTGTTTGTTCTCCGACAAGCTCAAATAAATGGTATGCTAAAAAGAAAGGAGAAAAAAAAGGAAAGAATTCGCTAAAAAAAAAGATTCTAAAAGTTACAAATAACAAAAAAAAAAAAAAAACAGATTCCCAGTTAAATCTTTCTCGACTTTCATTGACTTGAAATAACACAACTCTGTCTTTCACTCTTTTTCTTTCGCTTCTTCCATTTTACGTGAAAAAAAAAAATCATCTTGGCCTCTCCTTTTCTCTACTCGTTTATTTTTACTTTCAACCTATAAAACTATTTTTTTCAATTTTTTGTAAATAATCAAATATCCTTCATATCTATGTACATACGTATGCAAAGTTCTTCTTCGAAATCTCTTTCTGTATAAAAGCAAGATGTTTAATGAACAAAAGAGCGCACAGAATTCCACTTGTATAAACGCGTTGTAGAACAAACAATTTATATAATCGGAACTTTCTGATTCTTCTTTCTACCTTCATTCGCTAATTTTCACTCATATAATAAATGCTCAAATTCAAACAAGTGACGAGAGTTCATTCAATCGAGCATTGTCTGAAAATTTGATTCAGAATCCACCTAAGCACAGTACTTGTAATTAAATTCTGCTCAAACATTTCACAAGTTGTGAAAAGATAATCCGAATTCGACGATCGGACACTATATTTTGTTTTTCACGAGAGAGAGAGAGAGAGAGTCTTATTTATACTGTAGCAACGTAAAATCGTTCCAGCATCGTTGGGGGAGCGGCTGCACGCAGCCAAACGTAAAAACAAGGAGGCAAATCAAATTTAATACGCCTCAGCGTACAAAAGTAGCCGCATAATTTAGACAAGTTAGAAAGAATCGGTGTTCTTTGCGAATATCCCGGCGATTCGCGTTCCTTATTGGCAAGGCTGCGAGAGAAAAACACCGGCCAGCTTCGGGAATAACTGTAATCGTTTGGCCGGTTACGTGAAATTTATCGGTTTACCCGCGCGAGCCGATGTATTTTTATTGAGAGCCGCCGGTTGTCGTTTGACGCCGGCCGTCCCCTGGCTGGAGATATACAGAGAGAGAGAGAGAGAGAG